GGGGGGTTTTTTGTGTTTTTTTTTCCCCTTGGATCAAAATTTTACACAGCATAGCAAGTGCAGGTGTCTGGTAACCTACATGATCATTTCTCTGGTTTCAAAGTCTGAAAGAGTCACAATTAGTACAGTTTCAGAGCTATAAAAATGTTGATTTGTTTTGTTTCAGGTTAGATGCTGTAGCTAGAGATGCTGAGCTAGTTGATAAATCAGAGACAGATCTTAGACGTTTGGGAGAGCTTGTACATAATGGATGCATTAAAGCTTTAAAGGACAATTCATCTGGACCAGAAAGAGCAGGTACAATGTGTTCTTGCACTTTGGTCATAGCAGAAAGTGTTTTTGTTTGGGGAAAATATAAACAAAAATGTTGGCATGACTTAACGTTTTTTCTTCTCTTTCTATGTGTGAATTGTTACTGGAGGATGGACTATGTTTTTTCTGTACTGTGAAATTTAAAAGTAATTGATATCTAGAAGATCTTTTGATTTTGAGTTAAACATTTGGTTAAGAAAAGGTTATTTGATATCATTGAAAGTTTGCTGCGATAGCATCCGTCTTACTTGTTTTCTTTATATTTTTCTGTATGATATTTATAAAGTATTTTAATAGCTTTGTAATTCATTTTAAGGTGGGAGACTTGGGAAAGTTAAAGGCCCAACATTTCGAATCTCAGGAGTACAGGTGAATGCAAAGCTAGTCATCTCTCATGAAGAAGAGTTGGCACCATTACACAAATCCATTCCTTCAGATCCAGAAGAAAGGAAAAGGTATTGATTTTTCTTTTTTTTTTCTTAAAGGAAGTAGTAATGATGACTTTTTTCAACTTAATAGTTATTTTCAGGCAACTTTGACTCAGAGCAGACTGTGACAGCATCATCCTTCTGTTTCCTGTAAGGACTGGCAGCAGTAGCCTGCTCCATATCTGTTCTTCATTCTTTCTTTTTCAACTTTGCCTTCTCAGTTGTGTTCACCAGGGACTGTGTTAAGTTACTTATAATAATGAAGACTAGAATTCAGGCTTGCTGAAGAGCTGCTGTGTCATCTCTGAGGGGAAAGATGTGTCTGTCAGAGGGCAGTAGTGGTTGTTTCTACCTTCGGAACTTGTTACCTTGCCACCTTTATGTATCACAATCCCTAAGCTATCCACTTTGTTAGCGGTTACACTTGGGTGATTATGTGTGCTCTTACTTGTGGTTAGCCAGCTGTGATGCAGCTCATGGCCGTTCACAGATGTCTGTCTGATCTTCACATTTTAGTCTTGATTAGCTTTAAAAAACACTTCAGTGCTGACTTAAATAAATATTTTGTAGAAATGTTAAGAAAATATAATGATAAATATTTGGATTAATTTCCTAAATATACCAGCATCATGGGGAAGATGAATCTAGCTATATTACTTTTAGTATGTTCCATTCCCCCTTGCTAAGCTTCAGAAGTAAAAATCCTTTATTTAACTTTCACATTTATTTCTATTAGATATGTCATCCCATGCCACACCAAGGCTGCTCATTTTGATATAGATTGGGGAAAGGAAGATGATTCGAATTTGTTAATAGGCATCTATGAATATGGTTATGGCAGCTGGGAAATGATAAAAATGGATCCTGATCTCAGTTTGACACAGAAGGTACGTAATATGTAACATATCGTCCAGGACTCTTTTTGTTTAGGCAGTAACACTACTAAGAACAGTTCTTGAAAGAACTCATGTTATGATGCAGACACATTATATGTCTGTTGTATTTCTTAGGATCTGTCTTGTGGTATATTATTAGATTTTAAGATCTTTTGTATTCAGTTGAAGTCTATCTTTTTGCAGTCAATTAGGTTGCCATGTTTTCATGTAAGTGGACCTCTGACATTTGAATTTTGCGTTTCATCTTTTTCCTTCTCTAATTTAGATATTCTAGTTTTGTCTATTTTGTGCTCCTGAACTTTTGGAAGGGAAATTTTTCTAGAGATTTGATTTAGTTTCCCCATCCCCACTTAACCCCCAAGTTCTTCAGCTGACGTTGTCTTTCATTCATCATATGATGACAGCTGCACTAAAATTAGTGCAGTAGCTCGTTAGCAATATTGATAAATGCATATCGAGGTAAAGATGGGGGTGGAGTAAACTCTGTGACAGTGCCGACCACCTGTAGCTTTGGGATTTGAGGAGCCAGGGTTGTGTCCAGATTTGATAATAATGATTCCTACTCCTGCCTTCCATTAATGTGCTTGTTTTTTGAAATAACTCATTTATATTTTGACATCTGCAATGTGCTGTAGTGAGTTCTGTGTTTAGAAAATGAACGAGGCAGAGCCAAAAGCTCTGTGGATGACTGGTACAGCAGCTCAGAATTTCTTAGATAGACTATCAGATTGAAAACAGAAATCTGAGGCTGGTTTCTTGAATTTGTTTTAAACTGTGATGCAGTTTCCAGGACCGTATTGGCTGCATGATTGGGGAGAAATGAAAACATTTAAGAAATTACCCGTTGCTTCAAGTACGCTGTCAAGAGTTGCTAGATATAGTTGAAGTGGATTGTTTTCTGCTGCCTTTTGCGTAGCTTTTTCTGTTCTGTGTGCTCCAGGCTAGCATATTCCAAACTGGGTAATATGTGCTCATATCTGTGATAATACCATTGTTCTCCTCAGATTTTGCCTGATGATCCCGATAAGAAACCCCAGGCAAAGCAGTTACAGACCCGTGCAGACTACCTCATTAAGTTACTGAATAAAGACCTTGCAAGGAAGGAAGCACAGAGGCTTGCTGGTGCAGTAAGTAATATTTGGCTTTATTGGTGACAAAGCAATACACCTATGGACGTCAGCTGATGCTTTTTTTTTTAATTCTGCTTTTTTTCTTTGCGTAGTATTATTCTGTATTGCTAATAATATTACACAAGACTAAAGACATTAATTACAAGTCTCATACGGTATTATTCTCTTGCTATTTGTATGTGTTCTCTACTCTTGCACTATGCTCTGTCTTCAGTCCTGAGAAAAGCGGTGGTCACTAGTAGCAAGAAATAAAATAAAATTAACTCTCTTTTTGATGTAAAACTAAATTTTTACTTTTTTTTTTTTTGGTAACTGTGATGCAAAGATGTTTGTCAGTTGACATATTAAAGAGACCCATTTGTATTCAGGGCAATTTAAAGAGGAAGAAAACAAGAACTAAGAAGAATAAGGTGATAAAGGCTGCAAAAATAAAAGAAGAAATAAAAAGTGATTCATCATCACAAGAATCGGAAAGATCTGATGAAGATGATGATGAGGATAACAAGGTAAATATCTTTTATATGGTAAAGATGGAAATTCAGTTCTTCATATTAGTATCGATTTTTATTTTGTCTTCTGCTTGACCTTAGTAAAATTGAAGCAGCATAAATAAACGATGTTTCAAGACTTGTATGTGAAAGCTCCCGTCCTGGCTTTCATTATCCAGAAAAAACTATTTAATCTTCTTGTGTTCTGTTACTTCTGATGTGTTCCTTTAGGCTTCTGCTTTTGGTGGGTCTTTTTATTTCTAACATTTATCACACAGCAGAAACCACTAGACATGAAAATTGAGGTAAATTTTAGGGTCATGTCACAGCTAATTTTATGAATTTCAAAGTAGCTGAAATACATCAGTTCTAATCTATATGTATCATTAAAGTACTTCTTAGCTGGTTTAAAATAAGCTAAATTGAAGGGTCTTATGTAAGTGTTTAAACTATTACAAATTATTGTAACTGTGGACTCACTCTAGAAGAAAAAATATTTAGAATCATTGAATTGTTTAGGTTGGAAAAGGCCTTAGGATCATCAAGTCCAACTGTTACCCTAATGCTGCACAGTCCACTACTGAACCATGTCCCTGTGCACCACTTAAGTGAATATATAATTAAAACTGAGTCAGCCTTAGAAGCCCTGATGCATCTATAAAAAAAAATTACTATTTTTAACTAAAGCATCCCTATATGTACTTAAATTGTACTAGGAAGAATAAAATGTAAAGTTAAAAAAATAAGACAGTCTACATTCAAAATTTATGTTTGTAAATAGAGTAAATGTAAGACAAAGAGCTGTAGTCACAGTTCCCAGTAAATTAACGTGGGCAACTGTATCCTAAAACTAAGCAAATGAAGTGTTCTGGCTAATTAAAGGAATGTTTGACTTCATCCCCACTCAAACCAGAAGACATTGCTGGTCAGTTGATTGACTTTTGGGGCACGTTTTGGGAAAGTGCTTAGACTGATGTCCCTTTTTGTGTATTTAATAACAGATACTAATGACTTAAATAACTAAATACTTTTGGACACAGACTAACAACTGCATTTCTGAAAACTGAGCTGTATACAAGAATGGACATTAACCACGTAAATGGCTGGCTTTAATATACTTTTTGAAATATTTAAAATGCACATGTTTATTCAGGAAACTCATGAAGTCACTGGATTTTTGCTGAGAATTTTCCACGATAACTAATATTGAAGTTCTGGATGGGCTGATTTTTTGATACCTCCTTGAAGTGACTTGTTGGGATTCATGTATTGGGCTTTCTTTAATTTGTTTTTCAGCAACAGATTCTCTATATATGCCTTTCCAGGGTGTATTCAAATAATTTCAAAGACTGTAATGATTCTTGCGCCTGTACTTTTTACTTTGTTACTTTTGGTGTTTTTCAGTGTCTGAAAGGATTTGAGTTTCCATTTCAGACTTTGTAAGTGAGTTTTGAAAGACTGTTGGAGTGGTATTTTGTTGTCCTTCAAATAATTAAATGGACCTCTTGTCAGACAATCTGTAACTAAGACTTTCTTTTAAGTCTATGTAAAAAAAAACAAACATGTCTGGAAAAAAGAAAGCTCTGGGACTCTGTTACCTTCTCCTGTGAATGTTTAATATAGGATTGGTAAAAAGTTACTGGGAAAAAGCTACGTAGAACAGAGATCTTCTAAAATCCCCATTACTGGAGTGTCCTGATTCAGTTTTGCAAGACCTACTTCCTTATAGATTTTAGCTCCTGAGAGCCTAACTGCATTCTAGAGGGACAGAATTCTAAGTTAATTCTAAGTTAAATGGACATGGTTTCTGACTGCCTTTGCAATTGAAAAAACAGTACTTTGTCACATCAAGGAAATGAGTGAGTAGTTCTCATCTTTCTTTACAGCTTCATTCAGTTCTATCTGATAGGTGTTAAGTCTATGTCCAAAAGGAAAAAAAATGCAGAGATAAAAAATATGGTTTAATCTGATAGTTACAAAACTTGTATAGATAGGAACTCGGTTTGATGTGACATATATGCTTGCATATTGCAGGATGAGATTGTTTCAGTGAAACATCCACGTAAAAAAATTAAAACAGAAAAAGAAAATGAAGAAAAGCCTGAGCCAGATATTGGTATAAAGAAAGAAGCTGAAGAAAAAAGAGAGACAAAAGAAAAGGAAAATAAGAGGGATTTGAAAAGGGAGAAAAAAGAAAAAGAGGATAAGAAAGAATTAAAAGAAAAAGATATTAAAGAAAAGAGAGAAAACAAAGTAAAAGAATCCACACAGAAAGAAAAAGAAGTAAAGGAAGAGAAGGTAACTAGGTTTACTTATCTTACGTAGCACTAGAAAAGGCCACTAGGTTTACGTGAATGATTTTGAGATTAAAAGATACGTCTTGGATCTGACCAGTTGTCATTTATTGAAGGCTTTCACATAATTTCAAGTTTTATTTCTGCTTCTTGAAACCATTAGGACAGGCATTTGAAATGGGAAATTACATCCGATGATACAAATCTTAGTTGGACTGAGAGTACAAGCATGTACAAGAAATTCTTTCATTCCTTTTCCGTCCCACAAGGAAAAAACATGTACTGTCACTGAATGTCAGCATAGATTTTATTATTTATTATTGAAGAGAATACAGTAGTTATGGGGATTGTCATATATTATAGGATAATTCCGGAGCCAAAAATTCAGTTTACTTAAATGTTTCTATGTCTCATTCTTAGGTAAGTGAAATCAAATCTGAAAGTAAAGAAAAAATGAAAAAAATTCCATTGTTGGATACTCCAGTTCATATTACTGCAACTAGTGAACCAGTTCCTATATCAGAAGAATCTGAGGAACTGGATCAGAAAACTTTCAGTGTGGTAAGTCCATTTTTGACAAGTTAGTGTTTATACTTGATAGTCTAACTGAGGACAATTCTTGATTCTGTTACTGGGCAGAGCAACACAAGTTATCTTTTGCTAGTAAAGTCTCAGATCAGTGAATGTTATTGACACTACCAAAGTAATTTTTATCTTCATTCCAGCACTTTTATTTTGCTATTTACGGTATTAATGCAGGATAGAAGGAAAACTTATTCAGTGGTCTTGTATGCTCAATAGATTTAGCATATAGACTGTAAAAGTCCTCAAGAATAACTTGTGCATCCTGCTTTTTTAAAGAGCAGACATGAATGAACTTCAGTTTTCTTCACCTTACTGTATTTGGCTTTCTTCTGTGTAAGAAAACAAGAGAAATTAAGTTCCAGCACCTCTCTCCTGAAGTATTGCAGACTTAAATTAGTAGACATGAGAAGGAACAAATGCCAAAGCACTTTGAAATACCTTCCTGGAGTAATGTCTCTGGTACTGAAAGAATTTTGTTTATTCACTACTTCTTACTAAGAACGGAACCAGTATTAGAGGAGAAAAAGTACTTAGACACAATTTGTGTAAAGGTTGGCTGAGGCCTTTGAAGAAAAAGGTATCAGTGAATTACTGCAGCTACTCTCCTGTGGGTGTTTGACATTCAGATTTAAACAGTCATTTTTCTGCTAGCCAGGTTTATTGGTGCTGTTGTGGGTGCTGGCTGTGACATGAAAGTAAGATACTCTTGAGTGTGGCAGTGACTGGTCGATGTATGCTTGTATTCTAAATGTTCCAAGAAATCCACATGTCTTTTCCAGAATGAGCCTCAAGTGATTCAGGTGGATATGTTTGTGTGGTAAAGCGACAGAAAATCACTTGATTTGCATTTACAGTTGTATTTTTCGTATCACTGATAACAGCACACTCTGCTGATTAATTACTTAGTGACATGAGCTATCAACGGAACAGCTTCTTTGATTTTTCTGAGTTGTCCCTAGATGCTTACATGGTAATTGTAATATTCCATTCCAACCATTTGTTTGGTTTTTCAAATTTTTAACTTTTTATCTGGAGATTTCCTTTCGTTCTTACTGGGAGTAATTCTAGGTTGGGTCTGTGGATAGGAAATATTTTTTGTCCGAGTTTTTTGTTCTGGACTCTATGTTTATGATTATGTCATGGTCACATGCAGTTTAATTAGTATACTACAACTATATTTTGACATGGAAGTTATTACTGTGAGTTCTTTGGGCTTAACTAATGTGGCTTTTCGTGACAAGGAGAATATGCGTTTCATCTCTTTACCATGCTATTGTAGTTAGATAGTGTAGGCAGATGTCTGTAATTTAAATCATGCGACTGGATTTATTCTTAAAGCATTTGATTCAAAGTGTGAAAATTCAAGAACACACATATGACATGTATGTGTTGTCATGGCTGTTGCTACTAATCTAGGCATACCCAAACTAGCTTTGCTCTAGACAGCACAAGTTCTGATAGTATCTGCATAGAACTGAAGTTTTAGAAATGCTCAGATAAGCAATGTTGATCCTCTGCTAAATGCCAGGTTTAATTGTCGCAGAAAGAATCTGTTTGAAATGTACTTAACACTCTCATACTTAATTTTTACATGGAATTTAAATTTTTTTTCAAGGTGCTAAAAGGTTTAAGTCTCCTTCTCTATGCTTGTGCTGAAAGTTACGATTGTAAAACCCAGTTGTAATCAGTCCTTTTTGTCAGAAAATCTTTTATATTAAGTTAACGCTTTCTTAAATACTTGATATCTTATTTTATAAAATCTAATACTTTCACAGAGGTGTACATTTCCAACTGGGTTTAAAATATTTTTTCTGAAGCAAAGCTGTAAAATATTTTTAAGTGCTTTGAGCAAGTCACATGTCTTATTTGCCTTGTCTTTGCCTGTATATATACGTCACAGTAAAGGATGAGTGGTGTTTTGGAATTCTTTTTTCTTTAATTTGGATTAATACATTCTTTTTTGCCATTTTACAGTGTAAAGAAAGAATGAGGCCTGTCAAAGCAGCACTGAAACAACTGGATCGACCAGAGAAGGGCCTTTCTGAAAGAGAGCAGCTGGAACATACTAGACAGTGCCTAATCAAAATTGGGGATCACATTACTGAATGTCTAAAGGAGTACACAAATCCTGAACAAATTAAACAGTGGAGAAAGTAAGTTATTCTCTGTGGGTTTTTTGTAAAAAAGAAAGTCTATAATTCCTTCTATAAAGCAGAATAGTTTTTAAAGTTATTTATCTAACTTCTTATACACCCTTTCTTGTATCCTTTGGCTGTTTTAGAATAGGAATCTGTAAAAAGATGATTATAGATGGTTCTGACTTCTAATAATTAACTTTTTCATACTGCATAGCAATGCATTTTGTCCGTTAGGTCAAGTCATCTCACTTCATACAACCAGACACCAACGCTAAATATTGTTACTTAGACAGTGCAAAATTAAGATAAAATGTTGGATTATAGACTTCTTGTATTTCATTCTTATTTTCTTACTGCAATTTGAGTTACTTTTATCAGATGTGTACTTTAATCTTTCATGGTTTAAAATACATACTGTGCTTCCCTATACAAAAGCTGTTAAGTGTTTCATTTTCTTGACGATTTCTGTTAGTGTAGAATGCTTCTGCTGTTTTTACTTGTTTTACTTCAAAATATTAAGGTGTTCTGACATACAAAACCAAGATCCATGTCATGTTTAGTTTTAAGTGGAAACTTGTAATAGAGCTATTATTCATAATAATGCTACGGTATTATGTGTGGATTAATAAAATATGTATTTCACATACCTGTAATAAGTGTAGTTAAGCAAATTAGCTTATATGAAGTTATACAGGTGTCATTAAGCACACCATTGACTACGTATCTGTTTTTGCAAACCTCTACACCATAATAATCACAGTGAAGGAGTGTTGCTTCCTGAGCCTGCATACTTCAGATGTTTCTGAACTCTGGTATTCTTTTAAGTGTTCTACCTGTAAATTTGACTAAAAGAGTTATAGACTTATTACCTGCAATCATAGGAGCAAATATTTTCTTCAGCGTTTTGGCATCTTGATAGTAAGAGACTTGACTTCTTCTTTCATTCCTTTGTGCGCAGATTAAGCAAAACTTTATTTCTATTCCTCTTCTATCCTCTTTCGCAATTCTCATTTGGCTTCAAAGGCTTTCATGAGCCTTTGCAGTTCCGTAGAAAAATTATCTTGCTCATATTTTTATGAAATAAGGCTTGTAAGTCAAATGTCTGTCTTGGACTGTAAGAGGTTTCAGGATTGGAAGAATTTTTACTTACTTTACTTAAATTTTTATTTGCTGAGTGGTAAATACTCAGAATTCAAACAGAGTTTTGTAAGACGTACGTAGCGACATTTTTAAGCAGTTTCACAGATCAATCTGTTAACACAATTGCTATTAGTGTTATTTTCCATGCACTTTGCATGCTGAAGAACTTAGGATAAATATTAAAAAGTCACAAATTGTTGAAGGACCTAATCTTTCAAGTGCTTGAAATACAGCTAGGTAATGTTTTTTGTGCAGCTAAGCAATACTGGATAAATTTCATAGTGTTTCTGGTTTACTGTTCAAATAACATCCAAATTATGCAAATAATATGCATAATACAAGAAAATCAAATGTATAAACGAATTTTAACTTCTCTTTTCTTCTTCCTCAGAAATTTGTGGATTTTTGTGTCTAAGTTTACAGAATTTGATGCCAGAAAGCTGCACAAACTGTATAAACATGCAATCAAAAAACGCCAAGAGTCTCAGGTAATATTTTCAGACCCTTTCTAGATAAACAAATATGTATTTTGAGTATTATAAATCTTTTATTTGATTTAAAGGAACACAGAAATACACTTGAAGTGGCATTTGTGTTTGTGGTAAAGTAATCTCCTTTGTTAGAATACTTTTCTAATAAATTCAGATGATCTTTGGATTTAACAATGAGTTTTTGTAATTGTCTATTTTAGCAACACAATGATCAGAATATTAGCAGCAGTGTGAATACGCATGTAATTAGAAACCCAGGTAAGAATTATATTATATTCTTCTGTTAGGTCTGAGTTTTCATGTTTATTTTATTTCACGTCTCCTAGATCTGTCTCCCACACTACTAAGTATCATAGAGATAGGCTGATTAACAAAACTTCACTCCAGTGACCTGCAGACAGAAGCTGGTGCTTTACTGCTTTTAGTAGCAAGTTACTGGACCATCCTTTAAAAACATTTTTGAAACTTGGGTTTAATTTTGGGGAAGGAGAGAGGACTACACAAACCCTTCAAATTGCTTGGAAATTCTGGACCTATTTGTAGCTGTTGTAATATCACTACAGTGTAAGAAAGCAAACTGATCCTTGAAGTCAGAGTGTGAAGTTACATGGGCTGTCTTTTGTTGTTGAAAATAACACTGCTTTTTGTATGCTCACATACCTGCCTGGTTAATACTGGCTTTTGCCTTGTATTATGTAACATTTCAAGTATATTTTCATTTCAACATAATGTACTTTAGAAATACAACTGAAAGTCTTTCATTAACAAGGCATACTTTTAAAACTATTTGTGCTAAGGCCATCCCTTCTTAGGGAGGAAGTTGCTGCTTTTCTGTCAAAAATTACTGTACTGAAAGCATCTCCACTCACTGCTCATTTGGACCACACTTAGCTTTATAGACTGAATGGAGAGGTTGAAGTGTTCAGTTTCCAAGTCCTACATCTATATCCTACATCTATATTATAGCTTGCTTCCGTCTTACTTCTGAGCTTGCTTTCAGTTCACTTGTGTTTAGTGCATTTGTCTTTCAACTATCTAGGTCTTGTTTCTGTCAGATTATAAAGTCACTTTCACACTGCTTTACATCTGACAGGTAGAAGTGCTGTTTGAATTAGGTGAGGAAGAGACCTCACAAGACTTACTTTTAACTTCTGCTTTATTAAACAGATGTGGAAAGACTGAAAGAGAATACAAACCATGATGACAGTAGCAGGGATGGTTACTCTTCTGATAGACATCTGTCACAATACCACGATCATCATAAAGACAGGCATCAGGGAGATGCTTACAAGAAAAGTGACTCTAGGAAAAGGCCCTATTCAGCTTTCAGCAATGGAAAAGATCACAGAGACTGGGATCACTACAAACAAGACAGCAGGTGAGTTCCTTCAGCAATTTAAAAATACGTTTAGCGTTCTTTTCCTGGTTTTGTAGTGTGTTTGTAGCAAGCACCAAAACATCTTTTTTGAGTAATGCAAAATTGTAGCATTCATACCTTTCTAATGCAGATCTGTTGATTTGATATAATTGTGGCTCTTGGTGTGTGTTCAGTAACACTAATACAAATAATTTCTGGTTTTTTAGATACTACAGTGATAGTAAACATAGGAAGTTAGATGACTACAGGAGCAGAGACCACAGATCAAACCTGGAAGGAAGTTTAAAAGACAGCCGGTCTCATTCCGATCACCGCTCCCATTCAGACCACAGGATACATTCAGATCACCGTTCCACTTCAGAGTACAGCCATCATAAATCTTCTAGAGATTACAGGTACCACTCAGACTGGCAAATGGACCACAGAGCTTCAGGTAGTGGCCCACGGTCACCATTAGATCAGAGGTCTCCTTATGGTTCAAGATCTCCCCTAGGACACAGATCTCCATTTGAACATTCATCTGATCACAAAAGTACACCTGAACATACATGGAGTAGCCGGAAAACATAACAAAGACTGACATTTTCTGGACCTTCGTTTAGCCATATACAGTAAACTAACACAGTAATTGCCTTACATGACTTGAAAGATACAGACTGGATATTCTATGAGTAGCAGTATTGTTACTTCTTTCCAGGATGCAAGGTCTATTATCCCAACAGAAGAAAAATATTTTTGTATTTAAAGTTTATGCTGCACTGTGCTGCAATTGCTGTGGCACTCTTTTTTAGAAATGGAAGATGTTTACTTTTACAGGGACCTCAACACTGCCCCTTTCAGACTGGATCTTACTATAAAACTCTTCAAGTCAAAATGATTTCAGGCTGAACACATTTTAAGTTATGTTTGTAAATGAACTTTAAACACTGACCTGTGCTCATATTTCAGGAACGAATGGGGAGATAATTTTCTTTTGTTTTTTAGTAAAGAACTCTGAAGGACTTTGTTCACTTTCCAAAGCTATTTGTTTACATTGTACACTGCGACCACCTTGCCGCTTTTCATCACAAGCTTGAATATTTAAAATCTGTACCTATAACTGTAAAATAGCCAGGATTTTTCCTGTTTGTGATCAGTTATAATGCCTTTTTACAAAACAAACAAAATAATAATAATTAAAAAAACAGAACACAAAAAATGGCTGTAAATTATTGTAAATTAATTAAATGAGCTTTTTCCCCCTCTCAGGCTTATTCTGACTGTTCCTTTCCCCACCAACTCAGGCCTTTTGTCACAAGTCTGAAACTATCAGTGTACTTACACTACCAGTGTACTTACATGTTTTAATAAGATATCTTGATGGAATCAGTTTTCCGAATGTAAAAATGTGGAAAGGGGACTTTTTATTCCATTTAGTGCTTCTTTTTTATTGGATACTTTAGATGTATATTTTGGGGTGGGCTTTGGGTTTTTTTTTTTGTTTGTAGTTGGGGATTTTTTTGTGTGTGTGTTTCTCCTCCTTCCCCGCCCCCTGCCATTAAACTGTCAATGTTGTGATTGTTTGTAATGGAGTGGTAAGAAATACCCAGCTAAACCATGCTCTGGAAAGCTTTTCAGGTGCATTGGTTTTAAAGGAGTGTTACATACCTGAACACTTTACAATCCAAATCAGCCAAAATTTATTGTAAATCCATTTGTGTTCCCTCTTTAACATGGGCAATAATGTCAAACGTGCTATGCAGCCAGTTAATATTTTAGAAGATTTAAATGACTTTATCAACAGAATTGTTACAGTGCACACTGATTGTACATAGATAACTTCTATCTGACAAATTAAATTTAAACTAAAAGGATATGTGTGCTCTTGTAGTTTTCTGCTGTGTTTTTTCTTTACAGCGTTACTTTTTTTCTCAGGTCTACCCCTATAAACAAACTCTTAAGTACTAAATTTTAATATGCAGTGTGATAATTAAGGAGGATATCTAACCTGACATCGTGTGGCTGGAGCTGTATCTGTTGCTCCGAATCTTCTCTGCTTTTGTAGTATTGAGTATTTTTTCCCAGTTAAACAGGTTTATATGAAAGTATTAATATAGAACCAGAATCTCTCCATGTAATATCTGCTAAGTTCTTACTGTAGACACAGTTGCTGCCCATTAAGTTTTAAGCTTATTTAATGTAGGCAAGGACTCAGTTAATTAATGCTGTTTCAATCATATTTACAGATTTACAATTCAAATTTTCAACAGTTTAAATCTTCCCACCCGTGGTTTCAATTAACTCTTACACAGAAAGTTTGATGGTGGGGCTAACAGTCAACTTAATAAGCAATGGAGGCTATGGTGTATCTTATAGTTAAAAGAAATCTGTATTCTCTTCAAATAAACCATCTCTAATTCATTTTCCATGCACACAGATTTGATGCTTCTTTCCTTGAAATGTAAAGAAGAGCCTTCACAGAGCGTGTCCAGTTCTGAAGCATCAGTCAGATACTAACCTTGCCTGACCCTAAAAGTTTTTGTGAAGTAAGAATTCTGGTGACTGCAAGGTAATTCCTTGTATGGCTGGAAGTCTACAGTTTTCATCTTAATCCTGTTAACGCATTTCTATTCTACCGTTCCAGTACTACCTAGATTGTTAATCAGTCTGAAAAAGCACAATAAAAAAATGTATTACTGCTCTTAGCGTTAAGGACTGAGAAGTGCATGCTCTTGACTGGTTGCCATTAGTTTATCAGCTGCTATGTTGACATCATTTATATGTTCACAGTCACTCTGTGTTTTCCCTGTTTTGATCTTCAGAGCAGCTGTCCTTGTGTCTTCAGTGTCATTCAGACAGCTTCTGGTTTCTGTGAGCCTTTCACTGCTATGAAGAACAGGACTTGCAAAGGACTCAAGTACACACTAGAAAATGCTGGTAGTTTCTGCAGAAATATAAAGTTCCGAAAAAAGCAGCGTGCCCTCACCATCCTTTGAAATGTGGACAGCAGAGCAACCTAGAGCACTGACTGCCTAGGTTGGATACCTTTGACACTTACCTTCCTTCTTTTTGGAGCTTGATTGGCTTGGCTTGTCCCTGTGTGATGTTCTGTCATCAGCAAATGCATCTTGTCACCTCGACAGCCCATACTGTTTAGCTGCAGGGTTCCCACTTAAAGTGTAAAAAATGTAGTGAAGTACTCTTGTAGTGATGTACTTTAAGGAGATGTCTCGTTCTCCAGTGTTAGGCTTGGTGCTGTGTTCCGTGACAAGAGCTTTTCTTAGTAGGAAATTATCTCACCATTATTTAGGAAGATGAGCAAGATAGAAGATCATCCTGATTCAGCTTTTTTTCCTGATTAGACATTTTATTGTAAGTTTCTCCATGAACAAATTTCATTTGAACAGCACATTAATAAATCCTAGCTCTTTTTTGTGTACTATGGCTGAAATAAGGTCCTCTCATACTTACCTTTACAGAAATAAATGAACACAATCTCTGGCTTTTCTCAGAGAGTAGTAAAGACTATTAAAATGGGCATCATCTGGTATGAGTCATCCACTTGCACCGATCAAGGTTTATTTAATTCAGCTATGTTGGACAGACATGTGGTGGTGTCACTTCTGTCTCCTCATTCTTCCAACAAGTTAGAATGGCTGCACCTGAAATTAAGGCTTTGTTCTTAAAATGTTATGCTGAAGTTTTTTATTTGTGAAACACTCCAGATGTTGTAGCTAATACAATTGTGTGAGAGACAGCTAGGAGCAGGAAGGAGGTTCATGGAATTTGTTTCTTATTCTTTCCATTTTCTTCTGTAGTGCCACTATTTTTCTTAAGGTGTAAGTTGAGAATGACTGAGTAATGGGAAACACTTTCTGGTCCACCCATCCTTACACTCTCATACTGTGTTGGGTCAGTAAAAGATCTTATCCTGGATACAGCCAGTACTAAAAGAATGTCTAGTCCCATAGCCCTAGCAATTTACTGGTAACTACCTTCTTATTTATTTATTTTTAAAACTAATGAGTGAAAAATTGCTTCACAATACATACTGATATTTAAGGGTGATTGTAAGGGGGCTGGTTAGCTCAGTGGGTTAGAGCGTGGTGCTGATAACACCAAGGTCGCGGGTTCAGTCCCTGTTCAGTCCCCACGTATTGCCTGATCTAGTTGAGAGGCGTCCCTGCGCATGACAGGGAGGTTGGATTACATGATCTCTGAGGTCCCTTCCAGCCTAGGCCATTCTATGGTTCTATGATTGTTAATTTGTGTAAAGAAGTAAGAATTGCCATTGCCCTATTGAAAATAACTATTTCTACATCTAACATAAAAAGAAAATAATTCTGTTTTTTTTAATTATGTGTAGCATCTTCATAAGCCTATTGTGGAAGCTCTGTACTTTGCTTTGCACTCTGAAGTTAAGCATTAGACTTTTAATTTATATCATCAATATAATTTCCACTTAAAATATAGCAGAATATTTTTTTTAAATATCTTTGTTATTTGTTCATATCCTGTATGATATTGTAGAAAAAATTGAAGGGGGATATTTTACAGAAAAGTGGCAAGTCCTGGTCAAGTGTGTAACTTTTCAGTTTATGTCAAAACTTCATTATTTACATTAACTGATAAAAATGGAAGATTTGCAAACATTTCTTGTGGATTATCAAGACTGTATTTCAAATTTGTTTTCTTCCATTGTATAATATGACTTCATAAATCTTATTCACAGGAAGTAAACTGAGCAACAGTCATTTGAGATACAGAAGTGCTAGTGCCGTCTGGATTTTATGAAAAAACTAATTAATTATAGTTCTATGTTTAGTTGATACCTGAGATCTAACTGTAACCCCAAATTACCTAGTCCAAGCTTGGTTCATTACAGTACTACTTTTTTTGTACCTTTAAGGAAAACTGTAGCCATGTAATGGTCTACAGTAACATATATGAATTATATTGTGAGGCAGCTGCACTCGGCCTTAGTTACCTGCTTAATCTTTCAGTAACAAGCAACTCACAACCTCTGACCAACAGCAAGTAACGTGGCTTCACAGGGAAGTTCGGTGTGCCTGGACATCTCTTCCATTATGGAACCAACACAGAAGATACCGTAGTCAGGCGGTAGTAGTCTGTTTCACCTAACCCTCCGGCAGTGTTCCCTTGGCAGCATATGTTATCAGTTATATAACTGAAGGGCCTGTGGTAAAGAAGTCTGCAAGGGATGGGCCGTGGGCCGGATCTAACTGGCAAACCACAGCATAGGCACATTCTTCTCCCCCCTCGAAAAAATTAATCCAGCTATACCAGCTCTATTCTGGAACTGATTTGCAAACTTGTAATACAATGCAGTATTTTTGTGTGAAGCCTGTAAACGAAAGCCAGTAAAAATATACACTACTGACAAAAGCCCTAGGAAATACTTCTCTGGTTAAGATTTCCAGCCAGAAATCTTAAACTTGAGCCAATTGGTGTAATTAATTCTGAGAGCCAGGCATTACCACAGTTGATCCAGAGGAACCATGCTTGGACCAACAAAAAGAAGGCTGTTGCCAGAAGGATGCCAGTGTTACCCCTGTGTATGCAGTCCCTGGCTGCACTTTTGTGGGGAAGAGGAGTCGGGTCAGTGCGTATTTCTAGGGTGCAGCCAATTGATCACTGGGGAGATGGTGCTCCAGGGACCTGCCAGTCCCTTTGACTCCGATTATTCAAATCTCAAGTATCCAAGCCCAGTCTTGTACTGAATGTCCCCAGTTTTACCAGCCCAAATGCCCACCCCACAGCTTTACCTTCAGTGTTCTTCAGATTGCATTTTTGTCAACCTGCTCCAGAGACAAGGAAGGAAGGCCCCTCTCTCAGCCTTCCTCTCCCTCTCACCATTGCTTTTTTCTGAATCCATCTTCCCAATACTATTCCAGCTTTCTACCAATGCCCTTAACTGCACCCTCCAATCAATTTGCTTTCTCCAGGGCCTCCAGCTCTACACTCATGCACCTATCACCAGCCTCTCTACAGCTGAATTTTTTTGAAGTGTGCTGTTTCTGTTGCTACCCAACACTCACCTTTAATCGTTTACTGGAAGCCTGAGTTCTTATTTTGGTGAGGATTTTGGAAACGTGGTCTTCCCTAAAAGTAACCAAGGGAGTTTTCAGAGAATAGAAAACATCCCAGGGGAAAAGTTATTCATATATCTAGAATTCTGTGAAGCATGTTGTGTTCTTGGAACAGGGAATAGATCGTATCTGAGTTAAATTCATACA